TGCTGTATTATACAGCATACAGCCTGTATATATTATTAATATTACCACAATTATAAATTACTTAACAAACTATAGAAGCTTGTATATTTGTTCGTAAACAAATTCATTTTATATTTCTTGCATTGTTACAGTTGCCTAAATTAGTTGGATAATTTATTTCACTGGATATTAGAGTACATTATCAGTTTCTTTAAACCTAAATGAACACCAAATACAACACTTTTTATTCTACTAATATTATGAAACTCATCAAATATTATGAATAATTAATGCACCTTTGAAATTATAACATCAATTCTAGCCTTACGTATAGTATGCCTTTCAAAATAATTAAACATTGCAGCACCAAGTACTATAAATACCTAATATCATTCTTGATAATTCGTCAGTTGAACTGTGTTCTTCAATTAATCAACAACCAAAAAAATCTTGTAAAACAAAACAAACTAATAATGTTCAAACTTTTTGTTCTTGTTGCTCTGGTCGTGTGTGCTGTAGCTGAACATCACGCTTCATCTTACGCATCGTTCAATAATCACGTTGAACATTCAGATCACCATAATCATCATGAACCACATGAATAACATTCCAGATAAATATTATTGTTATGTATTAAACATTATTGTGTTTCTTTTTTAGCACCACCCAAAATACGAATACAAATATGGCGTTGAAGACCACCATACCCATGATATGAAATCTGCTGAAGAGGAACGCGATGGAGATGTCGTTAAAGGGTGGTACAAACTGGAACAGCCCGATGGCAGAACACGTATTGTTCATTACACCGCCGATAAACATAACGGCTTCAACGCTGATGTCAAATATTCCGGACATGCCGACCATCCTCATCATTATTAAATGATTGTTACTGTATTAACATGTAATAAAGTAATATCAATTTAAAGTAATTGATAATAATGAGGAATAATCAAATGTACCATAAACTATATATTTTCTAAACAAACTTCTTTAAATAAAACAAATATGTTTTATATATATTTGATTCACCTAGCAACTGTTGTGAGTTGCAATATACACTGTCCGCGCGATCACAAACCGGCTGGACAATAAACGCGCAAATAGTAAATAACATTACTATAGTGATTACAATTAAATAGTCGAGTGCTGATTAAATATAATACAAACAATACGAGTCGCGTAAAATTAAATGAAAAATTAAAATTCGATTTGCGTAATTATGATTTCTTATGCTGAAAAAGTACCAGATTTTAAATCAAATATTTAAGTGATCTGCTGATGATAAAAATGCTTTGCTGATGATGATTTTTATAATAAACTATTCCACCTAATATAAAATTGTTAGTTATATTCATGATTTAAGAATTGAAGAATACTTGCATAAATTTACGATGCCAATATAAACAGCAAGATGTGATTTTATTCCAAGAAAAAAGATTCAATATCTGCAAGTAAACAAACTTATCTCTTGTGCGAAATCGCGTGATCGCACACGGACACGGTGTGCACTCACTACCACCGACAAGCAATATTCAACACGAAAACGTGCATCGTAGTGCCATCTAACCGACTATCTAGTAACGGCAGGTTTGAATTCAAAACACATTTTATCAAATATGCAACAAAGTTGATATTGCATGAAAATACCAATCATAAGCAATTTAATAATGCCTATCAAATCGCAATATTGCTATAATTTATACTGCTTTTAATTGATATAATATAATAATATTATATTCATACATCGGAGAAAACATACATTCTGTGCGAAGAGATAAAAGATACTTACTCAAGCCCAAAGGGACAATACAATATGTATCCGATTGATCTAGCGACCGACAACGTCACACAATAGGATTGGAAATCTAGGAAACTATATTTTAATTCATAAGAAAAAATGGGCAAGCACCCCCGATAATTTATTTCCACGATTTTCGACAGTGAATATCTTCTAAACTGAAAGAGATAGAAACCAGAAAGTTGAAGATTATGAAAGATTGGAAAATTCTCTATCAGATGAAACTTTAAAATAATTTAATTTAATGAGGTAAAAAGTCTAAAAATGCGACTGAAAGTGCTAAAAATTGAAATTTTTCATTCTTTGACATTTATTTTAATTGCGAATATCTCGTAAACTAAAAGAGATAGAAAGGAACGAATCGCAGAGTCATAATCTACGGACAATTCGCGTTAAAATAAGCTGGTTAAATTGGAAATTAAAGAGATGAAATTTTTGTTCCGATTCATTGTCGAAATAATATCACAACAAACGTTGCAAGACGTTGCATGTTACCTGTATCTTGCGAACGTGCAGTGTAAACAAGTTGATAGCAAGCGGTCCTCTTGCAATACGCACAATGAAAGCAAAGAAAATTAACGATTTTAAATATTCGACACCTGATTATTAGTAGATATAAACACTAAACGCATGAGCAATAACTAAATGCAGTCGATGGACGATTGAAATGAACACAATTTACCAAATTACAAACTCAAAATAAAATGATAACAGCGGCGAGCAACACGCCCGACCCAACCAAAGACCGGCACAAAACACCCCTGCAACGGCGCCCAATACACGCGATAATCCTGCGCGGACGCGGCAATAAAACTCGCACTATGTGCAAGAAACAAAGTCGTATGCAGAATGGGAATGCGACAAGAAAACTTGTTTAGGGGAATTTCGCATGCAAAATCGCATTAAAAAATTTCAAGACAATCTCATATATCATAGGTATTGTCACATTGAATATTTAAACTATATGGCCGCTTGCGACAGTACTAAATGTATTATAATACAAAATCAAAGAAATACCCTAAGTATTGGCACATACGCCTCTTGAAACTATTAGGCCACGTGCCTCAATACGAATTATATGCAAATAAATTATGTTTCTTATAATAAACAAACGATAAATACATGACAATTCATGTTACAACCAAAAATTACTGACACAACCACCGATCTGTATACAGATAGGAAAAGGTGCAGAAATAAAAATGGATATTCTATAAAATCTGATCTGACTAGAAACTAAATTTTAGCAGTAAATATGCAGAGTTAGAAATGGATAAATTAAAATTCCCGAGATATGACCCGTTTTTCACCGCAAGTCGAATTTTGGCCGCCATTTTAAGGCTGATACGACTAAATTTCGCGGGGGATCAGAGGTGCATCTGAAAAAACAACTCTTGCAATAAGAGAAAATAAAGAAATAACTAAAATATTACTAAGGGTTTGCAAAATATGACCCGTTTTCCACCAAAAGTTTTAAAAATGCGACAAAAAGGGCCAGATTTGGCGGCAATTTTAAGACCGCTAAGGGCAAGGGGTGTAAAACCAATCTTGCGCTACTAGAAAATGAAAAAAAATATATATCACACAGGGTTCGCGAGATATGACACGTTTTCCACCGTAAGTTTTGAAAAATTCGAAGAAAGGGCAAAATTTGGCGCTCAGCAAGAGGTGCATCGTCCAAAACAATTCTTATGCTACTAAAATCCGAAGAAACAATAAAAATATCGCGAAGGGTTTGCGAAATACGACCCGTTTTCTACCGCAAGTATTGAAATATTCGAAAAGCAATAATTTTTTGTCGCGTAAATTAGGAGGAGAAATATGATTGAATTATAAACTTACGAATTGTTATGCGCATCAGTCAGCTGGGCACAGCAAATGCTGGAATTAAAAGAAAATAAATTGAATTCATAAGATTTAAGAATAATATATTCATCCTTCATAGGAAAAATACAACATGTGTTGTTGAATTAAAAGTTACTTACACAAGGATAACGATCAATAAATCTACATGGGGGCCATCCTATATCGTATATCCAATTCGTTTTGCGACCGACACCGAACCTCGTCACTTGCATAAGTATGCACACGAAACGCGATCAAGTACGAGTATCTACCACTTTTGTACCACAATGTACATTAAACGCGGATATAATAAATAACATTACTATATTAGTTACAATTAAATAGTCGATCGATGATCGAATATAATGTGAATTTAGAGAGCAGAAGCCCGAACAAACAATACGAGTCGATCAAACCACGACTGAATCAACTAGCGACCGACACGAAACTGGCTGCAATGCAATAGCGCATGTCGTAGCCGAGCAAGCAGCGGTGCGACAGTTTACGATAAGAAAGCAAGAGATGCGCAAAGCCGACGCGTCAATGGCTCGCGACCTTGTGCGCGAATTGCAATAGGCACGCTACCCCTGATTTAAACTAAACTAGAATATGCTGCATGCGGCGTGAGGGGATTTCAACGACGACACTCGGGAATCTCATGCGTTGCTTCCACGCGGCGGAAGCGATAAGAAAGTAAATTATGTTCAAAACAAACACAATTCTCTTGCCGAATGCCCAAGTCTGCCGATAAATATAGAAATAAACAATGCAATTCTATTTTATGATTTTTAGTTCACGCTAGTGCCATCTCTGAATGATTCAAGTCGGAGTCTCGGCATTTAGATTATTGAAATTAATGAAAGGTTGAACGATTTTTCATTAACTATTACGTTTTCCGAAGCTTTCACAGAGAAGCAATAATCAACAAAAAATGAATTACTTCATTGAGTTACAACATTTCAATACATGCAATTTTGAGTATTTATTTCTTTAGAATCAATTTTCATATGTAAGCCCGGAGTATGAAATCTAGGGGAGTAACATCAAATTTACATATCCCCGATGCCAACTGGATCTTTCACACCTTCCCCGTGGCGCCTTCAAATTTGTGCGCCACTTTGGAAATTCCCATTGTATCAACCGCCGATGGTTTAATAGAATTTTAACAAAAGTCGATTTTTCACTGATTTTCAATATATCTCAGCTTCTATACCACTTAGACTCCTACCAAACGGCATTCTTTTCAGTAGACTCTCTACTTTTGAGAAAAAAAGATATTTGGCCTAAACTTATATCGGGTTTAGCTGACAGCCTCTAACTAACGAACTGTTTTGGTTATATTTTAACTATTTGTAAAACACTGATATACCTATGTACAATGTTTAAAGTTAAAGGTCGACCAGCAGCTAATGTCTTCTATTAGGGTATATTTTAATAGAATCTTTGCAGTTTTTGCTTGATTGCTTCTATTAAGGAAAGTTACAGTCTTTTTCATTTGCTTATATTGGTTGGCGAAATTAACTTAGTTTTGTAGATAGTCGTTTAAATATCGCTCTCCCGCTAATGTATCCTATGGGCTAGAGTTTCGGTAAGATCGCATATGGTTTATTAGAGGTTATGTTATTGTGTGATGTTATTGTTCTTCATACAATTAGTTTGTTCAACTAATCAGGCACCCTAAATTTACTGTAAATTTAAATTATTAAATATAATTATAATGACGTTATGCGAGGCGGAAAAAACGCTAATTCTCCATGGCGTTGAAGAAAATTTCCGCATTGACGGTCGTGAAAACAATGACTACAGGCCCATGGAACTAGAAACTGGAATAGTAGCATCTTCATTTGGATCAGCACGTTTGCGGCTTGCAAATACCGACGTTTTGGTTTCAGTCAAAGTGGAAGTAGATGTACCTTTACCAGATCAGCCTGATAAAGGAAAATTAGAGTTCTTTGTTGATTGGTATGTTACCATTTATAACTCAACATAAACAACATAGTTGATTGTTAATAATTGTCATATTGTACACAGTTCAGCAAATGCAACACCAGATTTTGAAGGAAGGGGTGGTGATAATCTTGCAACTGAGATATCAAATTGTCTAACTGCTGCCTACAAATCCACAACAGCATTTGATACTAGAGTATTATGCATCATGAAAGGCAGAAAGTGCTGGAAGTTATACATTGATATTTTACTTCTGGAGTGTGCTGGCAATCTATTTGATGCTGTATCTTTGGCAGTTAAATCTGCACTATGGGACACAAGGATACCTAAAATAAAATCAGTTACTGCAGATGGTAACAAGATTGATATGGAAGTATCTGATGAATTGTATGATTGTGATAGGCTTAATGTCATTGATGCACCAATAATGGTAAATTCAACAAAACTCCTAAGAAATTGAACTTTTTAATAATTAATTAAAATATTTCCAGGTAACTGTATGCAAAATTGGTGATAATTGCATAGTGGATCCTTCAGATGCAGAGGAACAATGTGCAGGAGGATCAATTGTTATTGCAATATCAAAAAACAGCTTCAGCTCAATTGTGCAAACAGGTGGTGGATCTCTGCATCCAAGCACACTGATAGAATGCTTAAAAATGGGGCAGGAAGTCGCTAATCGGTTAGACAATGCACTCGTTGAAACCTTGCACAAAATTACAAATGAATCTGCAAGTGATGTTGGTTTTATAAGTTAATATCGTTAGTGGACGTGACACTTCATTGTATAAAAGACTTACAGATATCTACAATATTGAATCAAAAATTATTTCATGTGTTAAAATCACACCTATGGCCAATCTTAATTATATTTCTTAAAAAGGCAATTATCTTATATTATGCAATTGTATATTAGCCAACCACAATCCATTCTTCAATTATAACAAAAATAATGATAGTGATGAAGGGTTTGGGTTTCTACTTCATTTTTGCAACTTCTTCTATGCTTGCACAGAACTCATCCCATGCATCTTTTCTGTCTTGTATTAAATCAGCAAAATGCTTTTTATATACATTTTGTAGTTGTTCTTTCCTTATGGCTGCAAATTGGACGCATGTTAACTCTTCTTCTGGCAATTTTAACTTTGCAAATGTACACGTCTTTGAGTGTGATAAGTGTTCCTCCCAAGGATTATCCTTTGCATCCCAACCATCAAGAGGTTTACTGCACAGGAAGCATTGTACTAAGTCAGGATCTGATTTTGTAGCAGTTGAATAAAATCCTGCTTCTGCCATCTGAATAAAAAATTAACATTATTATTTACTTCCATGTAGCTCATAACAAAGATCATACCTTGGCTGCATTACATGGTTGATCATCATCAAACACCCACTTCTTGAAAGATTCTAGGCGGTTTTCCTCAAGGAACATTGATAATTGTAGTTTATAGGCATTACTTAGATCAGGAATCTATAACAAATTAAGAAATCAACAAAACTAACCTAAAACGCTGTAGCTTGCTTTGGTATTATATTCCTTACCAAATCCATTTTCATTTAAATTTTATGTTATCACTATTTTTCTCCTTTTCTTCACTAGAATAATTGTCTTTAAATGTATTTTTAAATCTTTAAAACAATAAGAAATATTAACTGCCGAACAACTCAGCAACCGCCACTGAATCGCACAGCACGTTTGAATTTCAAAATGGCAGTTACGAGTTACGATGAGTGACCATATTAGAAAAGGACAGAATATGAAAAATCCATTCTACATACATTCTACGAAAACAAAATGTCAAAATTCTTAAACCGTTTAAATTATATGAAACTCATAGACTTATGCTGATTTATTAAATGTATACAAAAAGTAATAAATAATATTTTTACTCTAGCGACATCTCGTGATGTTTCTAAAAGTTGTACTTTGAAAGTGTGAAAGCTTGAATAGTTGCGAAAAAAAAATTTTCAATCAATTATTGTTTCAAGAATCTACTCGGGTTGTATGTTATATTACAACCATATTAATCATCAACTAAAATTTATACAGATTTGTAAATAAATAAAAACATCGTAAAATCAAAAGAAGTATCTTTTACAATGTGATCATGTGCTCGGCGGTTAACAACCTCCCTGCATATGAATTCCTAAAATCAAATGAATTAACAACTACATAAAAAAAATCATAAAAAACGCAGCCTTACACATCCTCCCTATCACTCTTGGGTAGATCCCCAGCAAATGTTGGAATATATTTAAGAATCGAATAATTCTCCCTCTCCACAACGAAATCGATACAGAATTTCAAAAATCTACAATTTCCGTATTCAAAAGGAACGCCGCTAACAACTTGCAAAGTTTTTCCGTATTAATAATCACATTAGTGTCTTCGTCAATAAATTTTAGCGCCGATACAATTAAATGGAAGTAATCCGCAATATCATATGCGATAACTTCATTGAAAAAGTGTTTGTATGAAGATTGGAATAATTCATGACACTGAAACACAAAAACCGTTTTCTTCAAATTAATACTTCCAGCCGGCATAACTCCAAACCTACGTGTTCATAGTAAACAACCAATTTAGTGATAAAGGGAGTGAATTGGTTCGGCTGCTCTGGGTGATAATAAAGTGTAAATATAATGTTGAAGTATCTTCGACGAGTATTAATCGGAATAGCCACGTCGTTACTTTTCAGTACACACTCCTCCAAAAAAGTATCAAAAATACTTTCAACCGTACTCCAATACTCCGTATAGTTCCAAGATGCTTGCAGCAAAATGGGATTGTTGTGTAAAATCTCAGGAGTGAATAGCAACTTGTAGTTCCCAATCAGAATCCCCATTGCTTCAAGTACCTAGTTAATTAATGTTTAAACATTTAGAAATAATATTTTTTCGTTATTCTTACAGTGCTGTAGAAATTCATATTGCTTTCCAATAGCTTGTCCATTGACACCCAATATGAGCGTGCCTCTATTTTCAAACGTTCTAGAGTATGGTGGTCAATTTCTCGATTATTATCTTCGTTTTGGATTAGCGCTCTGAATTGACGCATAAAGTATAGAGTACATATTTTGATTTGCTCAGTAATAATCTGTACAATCAAAAACATCAAATTGATTATTGTTTATCGTAAAAACATAAACTTACTTCATCTGGCAAATCCGAATCTATCCAATAATTATAAAACAACTCAATGTCCAGGGTATTGCGAGAAATATTACATGTAAAGATAGCTCTAATCTTTATGGCCGCACGTACAATTCTTAACTTAAATTCTACCAATGAATCTTCAGCACCATTGCAATTCTAAAAATTATTGGAAAAAAACATATCAACAAATGATTTAATCCATTTGTTTCCGAGAATAGCACTCACATATAATTGGCTTAAATCTTCTTTGTATTGCTTAATAGTCTTGGCTAATTCCACTTCCAACATTGTCAAATAAGACTCTCCTCCATTGACATATGAAGCTTTTTGAATAAATAAAGCTATGTTCATGGAAAGACACTCGTTAATTTTCACATTGTCGAGATGTTTGATACTCTCCAGAACAATACCATTCAATACCTACAAAGAAACATATATAAAATCATCATAAAATTGCGGTAGTTATTAATATTACATTTTTCAGCTGGTACACCTCAGGTGTATTATATTCAATTAACGCTAGCGACTTAAATATCCATATCATAGCATCGCTATCATTTGTACTTGCCAGTAGCTTAGGAGTATTACTCAAAATGAAAAACGTCGTGTTGTTTTTATCATCGTCGTCTGCTACTTGTATCTTTGTTCGAGTACGATCTACGCCAATTTTACCATTGTAAAACATGCAACATGAATTATACCATAACTCTATCATCCCTTTATATTCTTCGTCGGTGAAAAGCTTTGGATGCTTTAGTTTTGCCACAATATGATACGGTTGCAGCAGCACTAAGTAATGGTATAACGATTCCACAAGATATGAATATTTTACTTTGCTCTGTAAACATAATCACCATAAATAAATTGAAAAAAACATTAAAATTACGTACCGCTTGTTCGTATGTATCTTTGTCAAATTTAGACACCATTTTGATCAGTAGTTTGTAGACAATGGTGTCATCAAATTCTTTTAAATACATCGCAAGAGCTTGGGCACACTTACGAGCCAGTTTCAAATTGATGCTGTAAGATCGAATTATCAATCTGATCAAAAGTTTTTCTGTGATCCTCAACTGATGCCTAAAAAAATATTCGTTTTGTAAAATATGACGGAAGAATGCGGTGAAATTCACCTACCTATACTGAAAAGCTGTGGCGAAGAAAATTGCTGACAGCATGGCAATATCATTATTCGTATGATTCAGTCGGCAGTATAAGTTTTCAACAATTTTATGAAATGACTCCATTTGAAATATGTGAGTTAAATGTGTTTGATGCAATAAAATGGTGCAACTTTCAATGAGATTTTTAATCATCGTAACTTTCTTCAATTCAAGCAGATCACTTAAGAATGTAATATTCTTTTCGTTGGCAAATTGATTTGCATCATCTGTCACGATGTAAATGTGGTAGTACAATGCAAATTCCAAATTATATGAATGAAATAAAAAGTTGTGTTGTCGACCGCCGTAAATTGAATCAAGCTCGTACGTGCTGATGATGTTATTAATAGCATCGTAAATTATTGCGGCACGATCAAGGTCTACCAACGATTCCTGGATAGCAAGTTGAACTTTTCGCACACAGAAATATTTATTAATTCTAAAAGCTGAAAATGAATTTAAAAAGAATATTTAATTATTATATGGATCTAATAACTATGCAAAACGCACCAAATATATATGCTGTTAAACGCAAGGCATCGACCTCACTTTTGCTAACGTGTCGCAAGAAACTTAGAAAAATGCGCATTGTTTTTTCAAACGTAGCTAAAATCTGAGTGTTAGCTGTCAATTGCTTGCATAAATACCATAAGAACTGATCAATCATGAGAGACAAGTTTTTTCCTTCCTTGCTCTCATAAGTAAATATATTGTCACCCTCCTGAAAAACAACTAAGGGTAATATGTGTATTAAAAGTGTACATAGTAATGTACACGGCATGAATAAAACTACATTACTTGCACATCTTTATGTTTCCTTGCTGCAATTTCAAACAAAGTTCCAATTTGCATCTCATAATCCTGTGATGTATATTTTTCTATTTTGTAATCCACCAACAATAAATCGGGAATAAGTTGAAGTAACTGATGTATATTGTTAAGATCGTTAGTTATTGCTTGAACAAGCCTTTGTACAATATACTGGAAACGCATTCAATGATTCGAATGGACAACATAAAAATGCTTTTATTAAACTTACCTGCAATTCATCACTCTTCTCAATCATTTTAACATAAAGACCCTGAGTGGCAATGGGTTTAAATCGTTTCACTTTGGATCCTCGGAAATTCAGTTTTTGGTTGGTAGGTATAAATTTGCTAATATCAATTCGCTGCTTCTCTATACGATCCGAAAGTAGAGAAATACTAGAGATGACGGACGATGCACTTGTTCTAGAATCCGAAGAGGACATTTTGATGAAACGGTTTTGTTACTGTATCTGGATGATTAAAGATTAAATTGTCGACGTGAACACGACGTGTCCAGAATATAACGAAAGTGAAGGACGTTTTTGAGAAGCTTTGAAACACGGTTATAACCGTCATTTTACTACGCGCCTTAACATCCGTTGCGCGAAATTTGAAATTTGTGACCGAGAATAATGAATATTTAAATCTAGTTTCAATGCACAAGACAATTTTTTATCTAAAATATATTACAATCAAAGTTAATTAATGTAACGATTAATGATAAGTACGCTTTGAACACAGCTAACATGTTTTTCATATCTTTGAAGCCTTTGGAGAGTTTGAATTTGTTTGAGTACTCTACTCTACTACTCTGACTCTAACCTACAATAATATTTTGGTGTGTTGTTTGGGCTTATTTTTTAAAATGTCAGTTTCACTCGATATTCGTCTGAAAAAAGCGGACAAAGTGTACTATGAAGGGGTAAATTATTTCATGTTTGAATATAGTGTATTTACATTTAGTTTTAGGATAACGTGACGGGATTCATTGTTATTCAATCCAACTCTGATTTCAAACATGATGGAATCACACTAATAATGGAAGGATCTGTTAATTTACAACTGAGCTCAAAGAATGTTGGAATATTTGAAGCGTTTTATAACTCTGTTAAGGTAATGTGATAATATTGACCTGAGGTATCTTTTTTCCTAAGTATATTAATTGTTTCAGCCCATACAACTGGTACATATGCAGTGTGAGGTATTACCACCTGGCAAATTACCTGCAGACAAAACAGAAATTGCATTTGAATTGCCCTTAAAGCCAAAGCAGAACAGAGAATTATATGAGACATATCATGGCGTTTTTATAAACATTAGCTACAGTTTGAGGTGTGAAATGAAAAGATCATTCCTATCAAAAGACATCCAGAAGAGTCAACAGTTCTTGGTACAATATAAACCTAATCAGAATGAAGGATCCAAACCTGTTACATTTTCTATTAGCCCATCTTCACTGTCATTAGGTGATGCCAATTGACTTAATCATATGTAGAATTATTTGGAGTAACATAAATTATTTTAGGTTGGGCAGGTGCTCCTGATTTTCTCTTAGTTGGAAAGCTAGATTCCACAAGGTGTAGCATTAACAGACCACTTACAGGTCATCTTGTTTTGGAGAGGTGTGAAAAGCCCATTAGATCCGTGGAAATACAATTGGTTCGCGTGGAAACTTGCGGATGTGCTGAAGGTTATGCAAGGGATGGTTTGTTAATATAAAATATATTACTTTTCTTTATAGTGACTTTAACACTATGTTTTAGCTACTGAAATTCAGAACATTCAAATTGGAGATGGCGACATTCCGCATAATATTCAAATTCCCATTTATATGATTTTTCCACGGTTATTTACATGTCCGACTTTAATTAAAGTGAATTTCAAAATAGGTATGTCCCTCTTTGATTGATTTTCGGCTTTAGTGTAACTATATATTTATGTATTTTATTTTTTAGAATTTGAGATTAATATCGTCATTGTTTTCCAAGATGATCATCTTGTGACTGAAAATTTTCCAATACTTTTAACAAGAGAACAATAATAAAAATGCAACAAATATATAAATACAGGTACATATGTATTACATTCAATTTATAATAAGAGAGCTGTGTGAACGCAATATAAAATGCAAAATATAATTTAAAGTCCAAACTAGTGGATGTTAAAAAAGTCCTTTTCCGTGTATCATGTTTAATCATACAGTAATCAACGGAGTGTAGATCACGTCTGCCCTCTCTGATTGTACATTCACACAATAATATATTCATAGCAATAATTAATACCAAGCATCTCCAGGTCCACAAATGAATTTGTTTCTAAACTGCAATTTTTAATTTTAACTTTACAGCTGTTATTCATTTTTGTTTTATAATAATCCGAAATATAAATTTCGGTTAAAGACCCGTAGGAAAAAAATGTGTTTTTTCATGGTGTAAACATCTATCCTACTTACAAATATCGTAGCTTTGATTATAATTGGTAATACACAACGAATGAGATAACTGTTAAAAGAAATGAGTTAATTTTGACTGATGTTGCCCTCCCATTCCCTGGGTGTAGATTGTTTTTCCGATATCTTGGTCTTGCAACGCGGTATTCCCGGTAGCGTAACCTGTGCCATCGTTGCACAAGTCTTCTTGACATGAACGATAGTAATAACGATAGGTGCCATCTTCAATGATTTGATTCAAGAATGTTGGCTTGTCTTCGCAACCGCGAACCATTGATGCCACTTTACCTTTCGGGTCCTATGAAATCAAAGTTTAGTATTGTGGAGGAAAAAAATCGCTGGATTTGGCTAACAATAAATTCTTGCCGAAAAGAAGTGCAATACTTCTTATTGCAATTTGTTATAGGAGAACCAATTTCAACATTTGCCGGATCAGTGACACATCTTTGATCAAAATCGTTTTCACCAATTGAACAGGTGTAACATTTTAAACCTTAAAACAAATCAATTTAAAATTTATATATTGTATATATAAGATAAATATTATTTTAGGTTTATAACATATTCACCTGTGGTAAAAGTGACTAGGTATCCTAATATAAAAACAAGAACTGTTGTTGAAACCATTTTAAATATGTGTGTTATGATTAAAATGAATGAAGCACAATGTGGATGTTAATTAAGCATTGGATGTTTGAGTGAATACTTTATCTATGCAATATTTATTTATCAAAATATCTGATATATATTGATAACATTTATCAGCGTTGTGAAACATTTCATGATTACCTGTAAAATAATATTACTCACATTCTTTTAGATAAGCTATACATGCATTCTAGAAATATAATGATACTGATTCTACTAACATTTTAAAAACTTTAAACACATTTTTGGAAGTTTTAACGGTATCTCGAAAATAAATCGCAACCGTTTTATATCATTTGTATAAATAAAAAATATATTCATTTTTAATCCAGTTTACTGGATGAAAACCTGATAAATACGCGACAAAAGTTTATTTTTAAAACATACTGATTGTAGCCGCAATGTAGTCCTAGGGAATTTTATTTTACACTAAAATTTTGTACTTGGCGCCAAAAGTGAGCAGCACAGTTGAAACTAGTTTGTCCGGTAAATTGTCCCGCTAATCAATGGCATAACCGCTGAGGATTGCAATCTCGTGAAAATAAACATTTATTTCCGACAACAATAGAACATTTATAAAGTATTGATTTCACCCAATTGTTTTTCGTACATATTCGTCACATTCCACATCACTTCTTGTAAATAACCGTTGGTTGTCGTCTCATCAGAATACTCATAATAAGGTAAACCTAAATAAATTTTTAGTGATATTCATTGTAATGCATGTTGCAAACTTGTGTAGTGATAGCAATAATTAATTGTTAAGCAATGGAAGACGATCTGCCTTACCGAGCTGAATATGCCAAGAGCGCTAGGGCTTCCTGCAAAGGGTGCAAGTCCAACATTGGCAAAGATACGCTGCGCCTTGCTGTTTTGGTTCAATCGCCAGCTTTTGATGGAAAAATTACGCAGTGGTATCATTATACATGTTTCTTTGGCAAGCAAAGGCCAAAAACAGTTGATGACATTCAACATTTTGAATCTCTCAGATGGGATGACCAGGAGAAAATCAGAGAGAAAATAAGTATGTTTTTTTGAATATCTAGTTTGATAATTTCATGTTTTATTATACTGTGTGTCTTGTATATGTACAAATAGAAACCTTGGGTGCTATCGTTGTTCCGGAGGGTAAAGGGAAAGGCAAGAAACGTGCGAGCGCAGCGTCAGGTGCTCTACAAGACTTTCGAATCGAAATGGCAAAGTCCGGTCGAGCTGGTTGCCGCGGTTGTGAACAAAAGATATTAAAAGATGAAGTACGCATCGCCAAGAAGGACTTTACTACTGAAGTTGGTCGCAAATACGGCGGGCAAGATATGTGGCATCACTTGAATTGCTTCGCAAAGCTTCGATCAGAGCTGGGCTTTTTCGTTAGCGGCGATAGCTTACCAGGCTACAACAGTCTGGGTAAAGCCGACAAGGATGCTGTTAAGAAGCAATTACCGTAAGTAATTGTTCAAATAAATTTCTCGGATTATGCTAAACAATTTCTTAATAATAGGGCTATCAAACAAGAAGAAGAACCTGATACCAAGAAGATGAAGAAAGAGGAAGAGGAACCCGACGTCGACGCTGACAAAATTAAAGCACAATCTAAACTCATTTTTAAATATCGTGACCTGTTGAAAGCGAAAGTTTCGAAGAAAGATTTGATTTACTTGCTGGAAGCGAATGAGCAAGAAATTCCTCAGGGAGAAGAGCGGGTATGGAAACGTGTAATGTGTATATTTTAAGCGCTAATCATATATATTTTCAAACAGATGTTGGATCGTTTGTCTGACTTGATGGCATTTGGTCGTCTGTTACCGTGCACAGTGTGCAAAGATGGCCAATTAGTGTTCAACAAATTCGGCTATGAATGCAAGGGTGATTTAACTGAATGGACAAAATGCGCAGAAGTCTTCAAAGAACCTGCACGCTCGAAATTTGTGGTTCCAAAAGAATTAGCCGAGGAACACAGCTTTTTAAAGAAATACAAATGTGTCGTTGGCAATCGAATCATCAAGGATGTTAAACCGACTGTGGTTCCTAAGAAAGAAGAAGATGAAGTTGATTCCAAGTATGTCTTTAGTTGCTTAGTTAATTTAATTATTTCAATGACTGATGTAACTTATTGGTATAACTTTTCAGACCGAAAGTGGAACGTGAACGTCCACCACTCTACAATATGGAATTTGTATTGTTTAACGTCAGTGATAAAGAGAAATTAAAGAAAGATATTGTCAAACTTGGAGGAAAGGTAACAACTAAAATCGATGAAAACGTCATGGCCATGATTTCCAATGAAGAAGAAGTGGAAAAGATGGGAGCTAGAATTACAGCCGCAAAAGATGCCAAAGTACATGTTGTCGGAGAGAAATTTGTTAAAGATGCCAAGGGTAAAAAGTACGAAGATATCTTCAAACTTGTCGAAGACAAATCTATTTGTGATTGGGGATCGGATGTAAGTTGCACAACGATGCGTACGTTCTAAATTAATCTCATAATTATGTTTTGCTAGCCTGCCAAACGTGTTCCTCAAGAAACCAGTAGTCACAAATCCAAGTCAAAGAGCATTTATACCAAGTCCGTACCAAAATCGGTAACTATGAAACTCAAAGGTGGCACTGCCGTTGATCCTGATTCCGGCTTGGAGGACCATGCACACGTTTACGTCCGTGGCGAGGATAAATATACGGCTGTGTTGGGTCTCACAGACATACAAAAACAGAAAAACAGCTTCTATAAATTACAACTTTTGCAATCGGACAAAGGCAACAACTTTTGGCTATTCAGGGCCTGGGGTCGTATCGGAACTACCATCGGTGGTAACAAGTTGGAGCAAAAGTCCGACTTGATGGAAGCCGTGAATGAATTCGAAGCGCTCTACGAAGAGAAAACAGGAAATCAATGGGAGATGCGTCACATGTTCCAGAAAGTGCCCGGTCGCCTGTATCCCATCGATGTGGACTACACGGATGAAACCGACAATCTCAAGATTGATTGTGATGTACCATCATTGCTGCCTTCGCCTGTGCAGAATCTCATGAAGCTCATCTTTAACATTGACGACATGAAAAGGGTCATGTTGGAATTTGAGCTGGATACCGAAAAAATGCCCCTTGGAAAGTTAAGCAAATCACAGATTACAAAGGCCTATAAAGTGCTCACTGAATTGCAAACGATGATCGCTGATACAAACACGAATGAGCGTATGTTCATCGACGCTTCAAATCGCTTCTACACTTACGTCCCGCATTCCGCCGGCGTGGAATCCCTACCGATTATAAAAAGTGAAGATCAAATTAAACAGAAGATCGACATGATTGACAATCTGATGGAGCTTGAAATTGCCTACAATCTAATGAAATCCTCTTCGTCGGGCAGCGTTGACTCGCACTATGAGCAACTTAAGGCTGAAATCGGTGTTTTGGAGCGCGACTCTACTGAATTCTCTATTATCGAGGAGTATGTGAAGAACACCCATGCACCTACACACGACGCCTACAAGCTGGTAATCACTGAAGTGTTCACTGTTAAGCGACAGGGTGAAGAAAAACGCTTCAAGCCATTCAAGAAAATGCACAACCGTCAGCTATTGTGGCACGGTTCCCGTGTCACTAACTTTGCCGGTATCATCTCGCAGGGTTTGCGCATCGCCCCACCGGAGGCGCCCGTCACAGGCTACATGTTCGGTAAAGGTATTTACTTCGCTGATATGGTCACCAAATCAGCGAACTATTGTAACACCACCCCGAAGAACAACACCGGCTTGTTGCTGTTGTGTGATGTGGCACTCGGAGAGGTAAATATTTATTCATACATCGGTTGTACTTGTATTTAATTAAAACTTAATATTTTAGATGATGGAATTGAAGGATGCCAAAAATGTAACCAAGTTACCATCGGGAAAGCATAGTTGCAAAGGTTTAGGTATGACCTGCCCAGACCCTAAGATAAGCAAGAAGATTGGTGATGTCGATGTTCCACTTGGCAAGCCGGTTAAGAACAAGACTAAGTCGTCGTTGTTGTATAACGAGTTCATTGTATACGACGTAGCACAAGTCAACATTCGTTATTTGGTACAGACCGAATTCAAGTACAAGTACTAATTTGTATCCGTATCAACATGCGCGTGATTTATTCTATTACCAGATTCATTGTTTTCGGCAGGTATGAATTACATATTCTCCTAATGGTATAACATATATTCTATATTTTTGTAACGTTTCACTACTCTTAAATTAAAAACGTTTTTGCAAATTACGCTGGCATGTTCAGTCTTACGGCTTCGTTATGAATTACCCTGATGAGGTCCTGATTGATGCTGAAGATGAAACGTAAACAGGCGATTTCCACGACTGCATTATCGAATAATCGCACTTTATTGCCGTTGGAAATTGGGCGCCCGTCGACGAAAATGGGACGCTTGCCTTCGGATGACAAGTAAAATTCCCCAGTGTTTCTTAAGCTGTAACCGAAAAACAAAACACTTTCAATGCTGATAAGTGGACAGTATAACGATGCTTACCGTAAGGTGGCTTGTCTACGAGATATCTTATGCGCCGGTCCCTCTAAAGTTAGGTCAATGTCGACCATGTGTCCTTTTGCTTTACGGCCGATCGTGATTTCGCGACTTCTCATTAAATATCGGACCATACGCCCACGCAGCACTGCCAACGTTTGAGCATCCATCTCGCCAGGACAGGAACCTGTGACGTTATCCACTAGTACGTTCCACCTAGAAAATCAATGCAATAAAACAAACGATTTAGTACGGAATACATTACAATCATATTTTAGACTGTACCTTCCTATTTCATTTTCGAGCTGCCGAATTTCTTTGACATTCTTCCGCTGTTGCAAACGCAGCTCACGGTCAAGCCACGCATCGGCCGGTTCGCTGAGATCCGCATCCTGAGTCATTTCTTCCGTGTCGCTGAAATACAACGGCGGTTTCGTCGAGTAGTTTGTGTGCAATGGCTGCCGTACTTGATCCGGTAGTAATGAATACATTTTCAATGTATTCCAATGCCGCTGGAGAGCAACTGCGGTGCGACCTGAGTAGAATACTTCTGGATGTTGTGCCAACATTTCAGCAAAGGTACTAACTGTTGGATTTGCTGACTAGAATAAATAAAGTAGTTAGTTACTGAAAATCCAGGTATTTTGACTTATACTCACTGATTTTATAGTATAAAGCAATTGTTCTTCTTGGTTACTCCACAATGCTCTATCTTGCACAGCTGCTACCATATCTGGATGCAAGTTTCTCATTGCAGTAACCGCGACTCTTGAAACTGCTTCATCATACAACAAAGCATACCACCTCTGCTGCAATTCTTGCAAGGTAAATCGGCAGGAAAATTTGGTACCCAAATGAACAGTTCTAATGTCGTTCGTTTGTTGCACACCAATGATAAGTGCCAAGTCATCAGTTGGTTTCCATCTGCCAAGATCTTTAGTTGCAACCAAACTATTTGGTTTACCTTTCTTACTGCGCCGATATGAGCTTGCCATTGATCGCGGCATTGATTTTACTTTTGGTTTCGGTGTTGTAATAGGTGTAGGTGGTATAGGAGTGACTGGTATTGGTGGTGACTGTGTTACTGCTGGTGATGTTGGAGTAAAATCTGAATGTGTTGATGTGGTTCTTATGCGAGTTGGCTGAAATATAAAACAAAACGTTTTAATTAACACCTAATTATCACATTAGCAAACTGTTCACGGAAACTTTTGTGGAGCAGGAGGTGTTTAATTGAATTGTTAATCCAGTTTAAAATTCATGAATAAAATAATTGTGTAAGAAAGTTAATTTACAATGATATTTACTGTGACTTTTGGAGTGGTAGAAATTCCAGGCAATCCACGACTATAACCGACTACTTCGTCGTCAAATTTCTTTCGTTTAATCGAACGGTTTGAACTAGAATTACATATTAAGATATGTATTTAAATCGGGTAATCTAGGTTTGTTTTCGGCGAATGCACGTACCTTCGACGTCTCGTGGCGTCTGAAGAGTCAAGTAACGTTAGTGAGCTGGACGATGCCTGATAGTAATCGCGTTCGGAGAGTTGGGAGAGATCGGGATCTTCCAAACTATTCATTTCGTCTTACCCCAATACGAAGTATCGATATTAGAGATTACAGCGTTCAAAGCAAATTGATCTCTATTACAAAAGAATGAAATATGAGGACTATTTGTGACAGGACAATTTTTGTTTACAATTTATTTACAAGACGCCATTTTTGCTAGACTCTTTAAACCTGTTCATAGATGTCGCACTATGTTTCAAGTTTAGTAAATATAATATATTTAGTTGCAATACAATTAATTTTAAAATGATTCAATATAATAGATTTTGTAGATTATAGTAAATTATAACAATTAAACGATTAAAATTACACATTTATAAACATATGCAACTTGCATTAATTCAACAGATGGCGCCTTAAGTTTTAAATATGACAAGAGGACGTTTGCTTGGTTAAATCCAAAATCAATTCTTTTTTCAATTTATATTTAATTTAAACTTATAATTTTTAAAATGGAATTATTTGACTACAGCGTAGAAATTATATTGCATCATAAATTTATTCACCCTCGCGAAGTCATATGTGGCGATGTGAAAATTAAAGTGCAAACGGCATTGTTCCTAACTCACGCGTACATCGAGGTAATTTTTTAAATTCGGTTTGTCGGACAACATAATGTGCATGATGTGCAAAGTTAGATTATAGGTACAGCAGAATGTGATTGGCAAAATCCGGGCAAAAATTTGCTAATGAAGTCGTCTCCGAAGACATTTACGGGCACACAGAGTTTCTTTTATTGCCGGCACACGCTGGCTGGAAATGATGGCACCGAAGTGATAATGGAAAAACGAAGCTATTACTTTCCTTTTAAATGCAAACTACCGGGACATTTGCCCGCATCTTGGACTGGTGAACATGGCAGAATTAAGTGAGATATAAAAAGATACAATGCCTATTAATTACAGGACATTTTGTTAAAGGTATGTTGCTAATGTGATCATCAAAGGAGAAGAGGAAATAATTGGAGTTCACTCAAAAGAACTAGAAATTGTTCCCTACCGGAATTTATCATTCGAAACGAATTTGATGCTGGAAGCAAAGCAACAAGTGACGCGAAAGTTTCGATTTGGTTTGCTTAACTTGGGCACTGTTACCGTTTCATTGTGGATGCCTATTTGCGGAATATCTGCTGGTCAATGTCTCCCTGTTATTTGCACCATTGACAATCAATCCTCAGTCCTATTTGGCGGAATCATTTTTGTTTTAACTCAGATTCAAGTTTATCGGTAAAAACAGCCAAATAATCATTACTTAATTTAAAAACGGAAAATTTGCAGAAGTCAAAAACCGTATTATTCGGTGAAAACAGTTCGTAAAGATGTTTGTAGAGTCGCAAGAATAACTGATATTTTGCGAGGAACGCAGGAATATTATTGTGTCTTGAAAAGTGATAAAACCAACTTTCCTACAACGCAATTCTGGAGATGCTCCACTTGCCAACTTATTTATGAAGTTTGGGTTCAAATACAAGTAAAACTACGAATTCATTAACATGTCACAGTTTACGTATATATAATTATTTCAGGGTTCCTTACCAGCAAATAACGCGTATGGTTACCCAAATATTGATTTACCAGGAACAGCAATCATAATTGGTACGCATCCTGCAATCCAATGGGATATCAATGAGATCAATCAAGATGTGATGAGAACTCTCCTTAGAGTCCGGGAACCCATTATTCTAGATCCGCCTCCGCAAACGGAGGTTGTTGAAGAGATTCTCAATACAGTTGATGATGACTTTGATAGTGAAATGATGAAAAATCTTAGCAAACAAATGAACAACAGTGATAATATCTCCAAAAAGGGCAGAGAATCTTATAGTATTGATTATAATGCATCATAAACACTAAATAATACTCTATTCAATCAAATTTAACAACTATTTAACATATGAAGGAACTGGTAAATGGATGCCATCTTTTGCCTCAAAGAATGTGTATGACAATGTGATTTCCTCCACAAATTCCATTTTAGGATCATCAGCAAATTCTGGATCAATATAGAAAAATACTGGCATATCAACCTGAAAAATAAATATATTGATACATTACATGCATATTTATTAAAATTCAAGAAATAATTACTTGTTCATGAGGGTTCAATTGTTGCTCCTCAAAACAAAAGCACTGAATTTTATTGAAGTATTGGCCAGCCTCAAATGGAACAACATTATAAGTGCTGATGCCAGTTACAGGCACAGCAGTGGGATTTCTTGCAGTGTAAAATGCCAATGCAGTTTCACCTGGCATCACAGTAATTTCATGCTGTTGTGGTTTAAAATTCCATCTCATACTGGCTGCAATATCAGCATTGAATTTGATTTTTATTGGCCTATGGTTGACAGATTTCATTGATTCCACTTTGGATGCATCATGTCCTTCTGACATGGTGCCCCCATAGCTGTAGGCTTGGCAGAACATTCTATAAAGAGGTACTGCAGCATAGCTGAATCCTGCAGTAATAACTCCAGCAGCAGTTATATAATACAATGTAGAGCGAAGGTTTCTTTGTTTCTCACTGTTTGCTTTATTCACTTGATTAAATATATTTGTCCTGTGTAAGTTTCTTACTGCATTTGCTAATGAATGACTAGATATACTTGGTGATAAATTAAAAAATGCTCTAATTGCAAACATGATTAATGAGAATTCACAGCCTTGACACAAGTGTGTAAATTACATTACTTATTTCCAGATGTTGAACTATTATTCTTTAATTATTCTATTATGGCATAACTTATTTTTTGAGGGAGCCTACTTGTGATTTGTTGTACTTTTTAGGTTACGAACTGTTTTGATCCACATGCGAGCCCGAAAAGTCTTTTGTGCAGTTGTAGACATTTGAATCACTATGGAGAATTGCAAATTACAAGAAGAACAAGAAGTGCTATCATCCATATATGCAGATGAATGGAAAAAGGAAATTGATGGAGAGAATTCCTATAGCATTCAAATAAATCCAGATGTTAAACTATATGTAACTCTGAATGATTCTTATCCTTCAGAAGGCCCTCCAATTTATAGTCTATTAGCTCCAACTTTAAGTAAATATCTGAAACATAAAATTGCTGAGGAATTCGATACATTGTACTTGTAAGTGAAGTAGGATAAAACATAGTATGTAGTATAAGAGCAGCATGTAAGCATTTAATTTGTAGAGATAATTTAGGTGAACCTGTATTATTTCAGTGGATTGAAAAGCTAAAGGAGCTGGTTAATGATGGCATAAATGAAAGCACAGAAGTTTTAAATCACTCATTAGAAAATGATATAAATGAAGCAGCAACTGACAATAGCAGAAGATGTGATATTAGAATAATACATGGACCTGTAATTATGGACAGGAAAAGTTCTTTTCAGGGACATACCTGTGATGTATCTTCAGCAGAAGATATAAAGTAAGTTGCAAGTATGGTAGAAAGGGTAAAAATTAAATTTGCTTAAAATTACAGGAATGCTTTAAATACTTTACTAGAAAATAAAAAGATTTCACAAGCCACACACAACATATATGCTTACATAGTTAAACAATCTAATGGCACAATATTACAGGTATTTAAAATAAAAATTTAAATTTCACTCATTTCTATAGATTGTATAAAAATTGCTTTCTTATTTTAGGATTGTGATGATGATGGTGAAACTCACGCAGGCGGACGATTATTGCATTTATTACAAATATTAAAAGTTGAAAATGTCATGGTTGTTGTTTCTCGATGGTAATATTCTTAGATTATATGATTCCAAACATTCAGAATCAGAATTAAAATTTGTTGTACTTTAGGTATGGGGGAATACATTTGGGACCAGATAGATTTCGACACATAAATAATGCTGCCCGACAAGCAGCTTAATGGTGTTATTCTGAGCAGCACCCGAAGTGCCGTACTGTCGAACGAAGGCAAATTGCAATTCTGAGTGCCCAACGGAGGTCTTTTGGAGGGTTCGGGTCGCCTCAATTTTCGAGCAGCTTGAGGGTGCCGATAGCCTTCGTAACATGTTGTACGCATGCGCTGCTCTCTTGGCGCGGGTGAAACTGCCTTACCGCAGCTCTTCGTTCTCACTCACAACCGCACTCGGTCGTCTGCTGTCTCAGTCTGCCTATTCATCGAAATTGGTAAGTGGAATATTTTGCCGAGCCGTGTGCTCAGCAGATGTGAAAAAAGATGAAGATGACAAAGAATTGCACGCATCGAGTGTATCTGTATTTTTCAAATGCAAAATTCCACGTTTTCAAGCAAAAATTTCAAATTAAAAAACTCCTAAAACAATAAATTTGAGATAAATATTTTGTCAATTTTTCACAAGTATTTGCTGATAATGAGCCAAATACGTAGCATATAAAAGATTATTTATATTTTTTGATTGTGTTTCTTCAAAGGTAATTTAAAAATCAAAACAATGAACAATAACAACTTTTGATTGCGACTTTTCAAACGTCAGTATTGAACCGAAATAGAAATAATAAGTATTAACACATATTTGTTGCATATTTGAATAATTGAAGAACCCATACATTTGAAACTCGCGCGCTTTCTGTCAAATTTTAGGGTGCAGCGGGATTGACTTTAGGTAAAGATATAGATGCGCGCACAGAATACCACTTAAGGCCGATCCATAACTTCGCCGTACGAAGCGTCTTGGAGCTTTCGTACGTTCGTTTGTTAAGTGGTGAACACAGAATCGCACCATAAGAAGTGATTAAAGTTTCAATATTTGATGGTGGCAGTAATCGGGAACGATCGCCTCATCCCCATACACTTTTCCCGATCGATGAACAGCGTTTGTACCTTCGAATGTAAATCGGTCTCGAGATTCGACCGGGTTTTTAATAATTGTTGATGCTGCGCTTCGGCTTCCTGCAGCTTTCGGTGCAAATATTCGATACTTCCTTGCATATCTAATACTTCTTTGACCAGACTGAAATATAAATTATAAATTTAGATGATATTTACATTTCGATCGGGATTATTACCTATCTTGTGCTTTATCACGACACAATTCAATTCCTTTGCGGTGCGTTCGCGATTCTAAGCGTGTGTGCGCAACTTTCATTGGATTTGTTTTATCCAAGATCGCTTTACGTAAAAGTTCAATGTGTTTTTCCATTTCGAATATTTCTTGCTGCACTTTGGTGAGATGCATTTGTATTTTGCTCTTTGCCTCCAGTAATTCAGCCGCACGACGCGCGAGCGCATTGTTTGTGGAGCTCCAAACATCCCAAATTAACGATGCACCGCTGTTTATTAAATTCTCCACATCTGATGCCAATTGTTGCGTTTTATGGCGTTCGTTTTGCGAACGTAATACAATTCCGTTACTGTTCTGCGCCCATGAAGTGGTATGGCTCACTCTGATGAATCAATAATGAAAACAGAAGTTAACAAAACAATACATTTGGTATTATTTAAAGAAATGTAACATACGTGGGATTAAACTTCTCAATTCCTCCATAATAATTAATACCCTTCGAAAAGTTGTTCAATTGATGGCACATATTGTCAATTCCCAATGCACCCTCTTTGCTTTTTATATCCGTTTCCAATTCGTGTTGCGCCGCACGAATGTTGTGCAATTGAGTTTTGATTTTATCGAGAACTGCCCGGAACTTTTCCTGCGTGTTACGATAACATTCAATTTCTTTAAGCAGTGCTTGTTCGGGTCCGTCGTGTGTCAAGTCGATGCCTTGGCGATTTTCGCGCAAGTATAAACACTCCTGCGCAATATGTAAAGGGCCTTCAATATCTAGAATACCTTTTTCAATGGTTCGCTTTCCGTCGGTGAGCCGGCCAATAACTGACATCAAACGTTCCAATTCGTTTTTGACTTCGTTGCGCCAGAATGTGGTGTCTGTGATTCTTTCACCAATTCGACGACCAGATTCGCGCTGCCCTTGTGCGGTTGTTTCATCAGTTTCCCTTAATGACAATTATATATTTTAGTTTCTTTGAATTAAATAAGAAAGTTGTGCTTGGTACCTCATTACTCGAATGAATTCGCCTTTTAATCGCTCGGAGTAGTTCCGATTCGTGTCGGATTCATTGAGAATCCCAAGCAATCCTTGCGTCCATTCCAAGGGCGTGTAACGTGTGTACAATGCAGCACGCGCTGCATGCGCAGGATTCCGCTCAAAACCCGTCACCAAATTTGGAAACTTTAGTGGTTCGGTTGCCATTCCGGTTGGAGTATAACAAGGATCCATCATGGCGTTGGTCACAGGTTGGCCAGGCCTATAGCAAGTCATTTTTTATTACGTAATGAAAATATTATGAAATTATCTTACAAAGGAGTGACTTCAACGGTTTCATATCCAAGCGTTGGCCTCCAGGGATGCGGTCGTGGTGTCTGATAATACGTTCCAATTCTTGTAGGAATAGGAGGTCCTGCAACCTGTTCCATAACGGGGTCGGCTGCTACGGAACTCCATGGTTGAAGTTGCTAAACATTTTAATAGAATCCAATGTTATAGATACAAGTGATTTTTATACGATTTGCATAGGAATAGAAGGAAATCATAGAAAACTATAAACTCACTGAATACATTACGGTATCGCCCATATCAGCAGCCATGTTGGTGTATATATATTTTGAAATATTTTAATTCCAAAAACGAAAGGATGGTAAGTATAGGTTTAGTAAAAAAAACAGTAAACAATAAATTTTAAAACGTCAAGCGCCCTTAATGATATTTTGGCACATATATTGACAACTTGGATCTAAAAATTAAATTAAAAGTTTTACAACTGTTCTGATAAAGTTAAAATATAACACGTGTACAGAAATGGTCAACAATCAAGAGTTTTAGAGATCCCAGTTACATTTTCACGTAGAAAATTAAGGATATTCAATAACACAATCAGGACAAATCACTGACCGGCCCAAAACAGCCAAGCAGACACCAAAGGAAAGGAACCAAAGCAGGTCTCGATACAACCAAGAAGAGGAATGGTAGCAGTAAAAAAAACAATATATATTTTTAAAATAAGCAAACTGAAAATTTTATAACTTTAAAGTTTCTAGAAAAAGATTTCAAAATTCAGCATTGAACAGCGCCATTATCTGCTGGCGGTCATATATGATACTACCGTTCAGCTGACTCAAGTTCGTAAACATTCCACACTTTATTTTCTTTCCCGACTATAAAGTTTTTCGCAAAATAAGGAAACAATAACATTCATAGAACAATGGCTCAAGTTATACCTACTAACGCTCCGGATCGTAAGCAAAGAGAATTTTAAATAATCATGCGTCCTAACTAAAATTATTTGTAGATTGTCCTGGAACACAGAGTGAATCAGCTGGTAAAGTATCAGCATGTGCAGGCTGTCCTAATCAGAATATATGTGCTTCTGGAGCCACGAAAGGCGTTGATCCTGGGATTGAACAAGTCAGAGAACACTTAGAATGTGTGAAAAACAAAATTCTAATTTTATCAGGCAAAGGTGGCGTAGGTAAAAGCACAGTGACTACACTACTCTCTCGAGCACTAGCAGCTCAGGATAGTGAAAAGAATGTGAGTCATTTATAAATTACACATTACCCTATTATATCTGCTTCTTCTCTCCTCTGGAGCTCCAAACTCCATGACCATTCACTGAGAAGTAATCTAAAACTCATAATTCCAGGCTATCAATGCTGGCATGTTGTGCAATGTTGTGCCTGGCACAGTAACCTATATAGCAAAAATGCAACATTTGCCATAATCTAATCAATATATTCCATTGAATGTTTAACTGATTGCAGGTTGGTGTTCTTGATATTGATATTTGTGGTCCTTCACAACCAAGACTTCTTGGTGTACTGAATGAACAAGTTCATCAATCTGGTTCTGGATGGTCACCAGTGGTATGATTGATTACTATTTTATTTATTGCAGTATACATTACAGTTTTTGTTTTAGTATGTTGAGGATAATTTATCTGTGATGTCAATTGGATTTTTACTAGCTTCTCCTGATGATGCTGTCATTTGGAGAGGTCCCAAAAAGAATGGCATGATCAAACAGTTTTTAACTGAGGTAGACTGGGGTAACATGGATTATTTGCTTATTGATACACCACCTGGTTAGTCCAACATATACTTTAAGTTGTTGAATAATATTTACATTATTATTAATAATATTAACAGGTACATCTGATGAACATCTTTCTGCTTCAACTTATTTATCACAAGCTGGCCTGACAGGAGCAATTATTGTTACTACTCCTCAAGAAGTTGCGCTTTTAGACGTTCGTAAAGAGATCGACTTTTGTCGCAAAGTAAACATTAATATAATTGGAGTAGTCGAGAACATGTCTGGGTTTGTTTGTCCATCATGTAAGGTAATTTTTATATATATAATTTTTGAAAATTCAAATACGTATAATACAACTTGTATTTAGTTTGAGGCAGAATTATTCAAACCCACTACTGGGGGCGCAATTAAAATGTGTGAGGAATTGAACGTTCCGTTTTTGGGTAAATTGCCGTTGGATCCGAAAATAGCTCGGTGTTGTGATGAAGGAAAGGACTTCATGGCAGAGTTGCCGGATTCTCCAGCTGTTTTGGCACTGAAGCATATTTTAAAAAGTATGTTATCGATATAATTTAACAATAATTTTTAAAACTGCGTAGTTTGATATATTCGCAGTTTGCTTTATGCGTAAGTGTGTAAAAATCCAAGCTATAACTCTGACATTAATATTTAGTGAATTCAACAGACCCTAATTTGATTTTAAGCTTCAACTCACAGTGAACTACTGTGAAATAAAGGCTCTCTGAAAATATTCTTTGACATAGGTCTGTAGGTCTATTTTATTTCACATATATTATCAAGAAATATAGGTTTTACTACTAAAGGTTACTTCCTGGTACAACTACGTAGGAAAGTTGGTTTTTAAGCACTTAATTTGCAATTGCCGTCTAAAGCACTAATTTGCGTTTTGTTTTTTTCTAGATCTGTCGCCAGTTTGTAAATAATTCCAACCAAATTAATTAACTTTAAAAAGTAATACTTTGCTACACATTGGAATCTACTGTTACATTGTTACAATAAAATTTTAAATAAAAAATCACAATGTATGCATTATTAATTCATAATATTGCTTATCTTATCAATAATGTGGTTCAACGGAAGCATCGGTTTATAAGCTTGTAATAACGTAATACTGATCCAAACGGTTTAACTCAATTTTTCTAAAATATAAAAAAAAATCGTTTTGGAATTCGTCAAAAACAACATACATCAACAAGAATGCCATCATTTATAATTATTATCAAAGTGAGTCATAGTTTTGATTACTCATTAATTAAATCAATACTAGTTTTTAAACTATGTTCTGTCTTTCATCATTTTTGTCCGTTTTAGAAGTGAGGTAACGCCCACGCCCATAAACCATACTTGGAACCTGCCACTTGACGCGATTACCTCGTACCTTTCACACACACACGTAAACATATGTACACACATGCATTGTTATGGCATCTCCGCTAGTTAATTCGTGGTCAGGTCGTGACCACATATCTACCATCAACACATGCTCAAGTTCAACATTGCCAGGTGTAGTTGTGGTATGATTCAACCAACTACAGACTTCCAATGCCACGTACTCGCTTGCTTATTTAGAAAACTTATTTCTTTGCCACGAAAGTCTTATCAATGAAGACGCCTGTTTTTTGTTAAAAATAATTATCTCTGTCATTTAACAAATACGTTAGTTGTGTGTTACACTGTAAGTTGCATGTGTGTTAAGTTAAGTACACACTTCAACTCCCTCTCAACCCGCGACACCCGCGATACGTATCAGAATTTACCGCGAATGAGCATTAAACGTTTAAACTTGCTGGCGAGCGATCGAGAACGCTCAGTGTAGAAGTGAACGTTGTTGGAGGTGCTGTTGTTGTTATTCTACTTTGGCTCGCACAACACTGTGATATTGCAGTATTATCATCATGCCGAACTGCCCAAAATGTGAAAAGCCAGTGTACTTTGGTAATTATTATATTATTAATTAATTAATATACTCGCAACGTTTGACTCAGTCATAATATGATAAGAGATTTTAGTTTAAGTGCATGCAATACATTTTAAACTCAATATTTTTTTTAAATATCGACTTTTGAAGCTGTAAAGATTAGCGTATCATAATCCTATGCAATTGAATAATAAAAAAACCGTATTATTGACTTGCGTGGCATGTTTTATTTTACAGTGTAAAATAGAAATGCTGATGGCAGGTATACATCTACATTTTTGCTAGTTATTATTGTGTGCTGAAAGGTGAAATTCTTTAGAAATCGAATGTTTTTGTATTTTCTTATTTTCACGCTGTGCTTTATGCAGGTAGATTTACGTACAAATTAAATTGCCATTGTTTCACGATTTTAACATTTCGAAACAGTAAGCGATCATAGGTGTACACTTTTCAATTTATAAAATGATACTTTCTCGTGTGCACGACCCGCAGGCATGGGCGACTATAGTTACAGCAGTTCAAGTGTCCGGAAGTAATTTATAGATGTCTGTAATATGCATTATATTTTTTGATGATCTTGGTGATTTAATTTTGCGTAGAACTGATGACACTGATTGTGTAATTAAGATATGATTTATTAATTTTATTATTCGTGGAAATGTGGTTTTTCTACTTCCACCTATAAAGCGCCAGTTTTTCTACGGTTTTTTGACACAAAAAGTGGTACTTTATATATGGACGGACACACAGTGAGTAAAGTGCAAACGTACATTTTCAAGATGGTTTAACTACAGAAGTGTCACAATATTTCACACTATTGTCAGATATATTACTAGCCCAGTCATATTAGGGCTTTCACCTCGGAATGAAAGATAATAAGCTGAAAATTGGTATGAACCTTTGTTTTGTCATTCTAAATGTTGTCTCAAAAGTCACAATCGTTATCGTGCCTGCGTCTCAAGATATTCAAGGTCAAAGGTACCAAAAATCGGTTTTTCGCGAATATCTGGCTTCCTATCGGTTAAATGAGATTTGCATTCATTATAAAAGTTGTAGGCTATAAAATTCCCTACAACTTTTGTTTAAACTTTTTTTTCATACGACCAACCGTTTTGAAGCTAGAGCGCGAAGAGTGCACATCGTACAGTCATATACTTCCTAATGCAAGGTCAAGCGTGAGTTATGGTTATCAGTACGTTATAAAGTCAATTATTTATTTGTATTTGATAATTTTTATTGTTGATATTAGAATTATCTAAATAGTTATTTTGTAAGCAACTGTAAAAACCTAACTGGACGCACTTAAATCACATCACAAATACCCTGACTGTTTTTATTACCGTGACAATATGACATTAATACCCATTTTAAATTATTCACGACATTTTATTAAATAATTTTATCCGGCTAAGACATAACATTTTTATTTTAATGCTAATTTCAGTTAAATGAACTCAATGCTCGCTGATTATGTATTTAGTAATTGTTTTTATATACAAATAAAACAATTCGAGTAATGCCAAATTACCATCTAAAATTGTTGAGTAATTAAATTCTTCTTCTTGTGTGGTTATAGAGGCGCAACGTAATAACGCACACTCAATTAAATAAAAATTATTTAAAATTCTATTAGTACAGTCATTTGGTGCTAAAAACGTGGTTGCTTGGAAAATAGTGCGGGATTGTTGAAAATTGGTATTCATATAGATTTCGAGGTGCTCTTTACGAATTTCAACTTTGCCACCTCGTATCTTGTTCGCTCGAGCCACCATCTTGGAAAAATGGTGTCAAAAACAGTTTTTGACCATACCTCCTTTCCGACTCATTTTACGATAAACATATCTATATAATAAATTAAACTAGAGAAAATTTCCTATAATTTATGTAAGTACCTTTTCATGTAAAATTAATAGTTTTAGCGTACGGGCGCCACAAAGTCTACTTCAACATTCGTTTTTGTCAAAACTCATTTCCAGGTCATCATGACTGCTATTTTTGCTTGCTATGATTTGAGGGTGCTCCTGCACCCCCTCGCTTGTTTGAAACTTTTGCCGGCCGAGTTTACTTTTGTTTCATTATTTCTTCATTGAGTCATTATTTGATATTTATTGTTCTGAATAGTCGTGTTGTTTGCAGTTTTGATGCCATGGTTGATAACGTAAATTGTTTTCTTTTGTAAAACTCCATTGCAAGATAGTGAAGTGATTGAGCATTAAAAGAAAGGATAATAAGGGTAAACTTTTAGAGGGATTGAGATCGGTAGTTGTTCACGAGATATGTCGGAAACGATATAATAATGAGAAACTAATCATTGAGTTTAAAAGGAAGTGTTGTCACGACTTTTCAACCACAACTGCGATCCACGTGCCCAACATTCTCATTTAAAGATAATTGTTTTTTGTACGCTGCTGAAATAACAGCAGAATTTATAGCGAAATAAAAACGGACGCATTTGAGTGATCGAAATATTGTGTATAGCGTACATAAATTATCGATGAAAAACACTATTTCAGAACGTCCTAGAGCACGTAATGATGATTGGGGTAGAGCGATTGTTGAATGCCTCGAGCGTGTTTATGATTTGGTCGCAGCCAATGCACAGTATCACAATTCGTTCAGGTTATCGGCGAAGATGTAGATCTTCTTATTCTTTTAACGGCACTATCAATGTGTTCAAACATACAACATATTTGCTAAAACCAGAAAAAGGAAAAATTTTGCAACAAATCTATTCAACCAAAAGCATGATCGATCAAACAGCGGCAGATCACATATTATTCTTACACGCTTTTTGTGGCTGTGATACAACATCTGCACTCTTTCATCAAGGAAAATTAAAATGTATTAATGTACTCCGCAAAAATCCAGATTTACGAGTAAACGAAGTTATCAAGGTATTCAAAAACCCAAAGGCTGATACCGAGATCATTGCTGGCGAATTCTTCCTTCTTAAATTATACAGTTACAGTGATGTGAAAACTATGCAAAATATGTCTTCAAACATCTATAGATATGCCAGCTTCACAAAATCAGCATACAAAAATAAATTTAATATTGCATCGCTACCACCAATTGAAGCCGCAGTCCGACAACATTCGTTCAGAACTTATCACCAAGTTAAGTAGTAGTATTGGAATGAACTAAATGCAGAACAATGGGGATGAAAAAGAAACAAGAATGGGCTAATTCCTGTCACCACACTTGAGCCCCCAGCCCCGAAACATTGTTAAAACTAATATCTTGCAAATGCAAAAAGGGATGTCAGAAAGCCTGCGGCTTTAGAAAGACTGGAATGAAGTGCTCCGTTATCTGAACAAATTGCAGTGGTACCTGTGATAATTCGCAAGTTCCATCACAAGATAGCGATGAAGAGGAAGAAACGATTACCGTTTTGAGCACACGTACGATGAACTCGAGAACCAAGATTGCATTGAAAACGATAATCCCATCACGGATAGTATGGAAGAAATTTTTCCCTGTGATATTTCGATCGGTCCTGAAGACAATTAACGCAGAACACTTGATCTATCGCGAAGAGCGTATCGGAAGACAATCCATTAAATTTTGGAATAGTGCGTGTGGATTAGGCCTACTGAGGAAACCACGATAAAAACAAACGCGCCACGTACTCTACCTCATGGTGGTGTGGAAATGAGTTTTGGCAAAATTAATGTTGAAGTAGATTTTGCGGCGCCCGTACGCTAAAACTATTAATTTTACAAGAAAAGGTACTTACATAAATTATAGGAAAATTTCTCTAGTTTAATTTATTATATGGATATATTTATCGTAAAATGAGTCGGACAGGAGATATGGTCAAAAACTGTTTTTGACACCATTTTTCCAAGATGGTGGCTCGAGCGAACAAGATACGAGGTGGCAAAGTTGAAATTCGTAAAGAGCACCTCGAAATCTATATGAATACCAATTTTCAACAATCCCGCACTATTTTCCAAGCAAAACTACCAAATGACTGGGCTATATGCTAAATAAGTACAATATATTTTCCGGCATATAATTTATAGTCATGGCACAAAATATTAGCGCGCATTAACATTAGAACAACGATTAACGTTAATCCTAAAACATTATACCAGGCAGATTACGTCATCTGCTTATTTGGAATGAGTATGACTCAATTTTATACGAATATGAAAATTATACATCTAATATTTATGTTTAAAATTGTATTTACACTGAACCTCGATGTTTTGTGTTACAAGATTAGGTCAAACGGTTTAGCGAAGATCAATGCAACAACTTAGCAAGGTCAAAACCACAAGTAACTTTGTTACTATTATAGCAAACATTAAAATAAAAATTTCAACTTCTGGCCTATTGTTGTTTAAATTATATAAATAATCTGTAGGAATTGGTATATATATGTATTATATAACTTAATATAAATAATTGATAGTTAGCCTCGCGAAAATTTAAATAAAAAACAATTTGAATCATTAATTTTTTATTTGTTCGTTTTAAAGAAAAAAAGACAGAGCAAAGTTTAATTACAAAATAGACATATAAAACGTGAATTTTTATTTTCTACTCTCTACTTTAAATTAACACGTATGAGATTCGTAATGAACTCATGTGACAAAAAAGTGTAATATTAAACAATAGTCACATGTACGAACAATATATACTAATATATAGGCACTACTAACTTTTGTACGCGACATGTGCTAAAGACCGGAACAGAAATCTACTACTGAACTGCGTTGCTGGCTGCCACGCCATCGGGTACGAAACTACAAGGGGTTCCTAGTTATACTTATTTTACTTACTTCAAAATAAGTAAAAGTTATGAATGTTCTCTCATGCGCATTTTGCTAATTGTGCATTAAGAAAATTACCTCTTTAGCACCCCTTTGATATTAAAACAACACTAATAACAAAAGTATGCGTCGAATCACGTACACACACATAAAAAATGCAAACACCAGCTGACAAAAGAAGTAAATATGCAAATGTGCGAAGAGAGGTAAAATAGGTGAAATAGTCTAAAAGGACTTTCAAAAGGAGTAGAACACGGGAGCATAGTAAAAATCACGTACCAGAGCTCTGGGCACAATGGAAGATGTAGTTCTTTGTGCCATTATCACGTGCTCCAGTTATTCCGCATCGCGAAGCGTATTAGGTGTTAGGTTGATGATGTACATGCTTATTGAAAACTGTTGCAAAACTGCTACAAAACATATATTTTATAGGGCGTGTATATTTGGTTGCCTACCTAAAGTTAATATTTTACATATTCCATTAGATTTTAATTGTTGAATTGTTCAATTCTTGATTATAGCTGAACGCAAAGTGTCGTTGGGCAAAGACTGGCATGCAGGTTGCTTGCGTTGTGAAAAATGCAACAAAACGCTGACTCCTGGATCCCACGCCGAGCACGAGGGCAAGCCCTATTGCAACAACCCATGTTACTCGGCCTTATTTGGACCTGGCGGTACGTACATAAAACAGAAAACAGTTACAAGTTTATTACTAAACAAAAATTAACAACGATTGGTGTTTTTTTTAGGTTTTGGTCGTGGTGGAGCTGAAAGTTACGTCTACAAGAAGTAACTTTAATTGCAAATCGACGACAATTCTTAAATGCTGCTGTATTCACAGGAGAAATACATTTATTATGTTTTCAGTAGTTTTTGTTAGTAATATTATTTACCAGAAATACAATTTTAATTTTCAAATTTTACAATAATAAGAAGTATTTTACTTTATCCTGTATAATTTTTTTCGTTTTGACAAATTCTTTGTTGAGTTATTTCGAATTTAATTAGAAATATTTTTGAATCAATTTTTTCTTCATTTTTTCCAGAATCAAAATGAAAGTTTTTACAAATTTTGCGCATTACAATATTTAAAATAATAAAAAGTTTATATCACAACCCTCCAAACCTCCAATTAACATTCTATATCACCGTACATATATTCTGCATGGACAATTTTCATTCATGTAATTACACCGACTTAAGATTACTCTAACAAGTCTCTAACAAACTAATTACTATCATTATCTTGCATTTCGTGCAGTGCGCGTTAACATAGCATGCGCATGTCGTTCATGCGGCTTATTGAATTCGCATCAAGCAAGGAAAGTGTGAGTTTCGAGCGTTTTCTGCATTCAAATAGAACATGCGATCCGACGTATTTATGCTAAACGGCGTTAATATGTATACCGCTATGTGTGCACCTATTTAGCTAGATATCTTATTCGTGCGAAGGCGATGGCGAGCTTGCGCTGTGTTGAATGCGTCTCGTACATCATGCATAAAATAACAACCTCCTGGTAATAATTACGTCGGCGTAATTATAGTAATTAGCCAATAATAAATTGCATAATGGGCGTGCGAGTGTGTGCGAGTGCGTTCACGCCCGACAGCATTGGTCGCCATCACGTGTGTGTCGAGCGGCTAAACGTGCAACATGCGTACAATGTTATCGTTGCGATTGCAATTAATTGGAAACTAATCCGGACGGATCACGTATACGGATACACGTACATAAGCTTCCTGCGATGCGCTTGAAGATGTAATCACGGCAATCACGGTTAAGACCATGTTGTCGTTACAGTGGCTTAGGAAAAAGACATCTTTATCACGATCGGTTGGAAATATAGTAGTTTCAAACACGTCACAAGCTCTGAAAGGGAACACTGTTAATCAGGTGTGCTGAATGCGTTCGTAATCGTTTATTGAATAAAGCGGAATCAGATAATAGTTGTGTTTTCATAACATATCACAATATGTTAACTTTATATGACTTTACCATAGAATACCCGGTACAGAACAAGAATAGAACACGTGTTTGGACACACATGATGTTTCTTACTTCTTACACCCTTAAACTTACCTCTAAACCATCTTTATCTGTAGTACTGCGTCCCAAAAAGAAACTCCGATTTATACTAAAATCAATTTAACAAAAGAAACAAAATTTTCCTTAAAGTTAGTGTATGAGACTTTTCAGAGAGGGCGCCACGATGCGCAATCAGAAACAAGTTGGCTCGCAAGAACAGAACATTCCACTGAAGAACATCGCGTGCTGGTAAACAAATATCATAACAAGTAAACGGATTCAATTATATACACATTACATACACTCATCGTACTTTACTTGAGATGTTACCCACCTGTCATTAAAATTATCACAGGTAAAATTGCTCATAATTCATATAATTTGGTATGTGTTCGTGATTAACATAAGCAAATATTATTTTATCATTGTTTTGTCGAATTTACATATGTGATAGAGGTGCAACTGCAAATGCACACACGAAACTGCTCCAGTATACGAGAGAAATTTACGTTTGAGATGCGTGAGACTCGTTTAGACATTATCGCACCATCTTAATATTCTCACCATTCAGCATCTATAATCCATTACCAGCACAAGAGACACTGAATGCCATTTAATTATAATTTATTAACGGTGTTCATGCAGGCAATCTTGTTATAATATTTATTGATAATTTCTAAATTGACAATGCTGATATGGTAGGCAACCAGAAATACTTTTGTCAAATGTCAAAAAAATCATAACCAAACTGTTCCTTCGAAAATGTCGAGATTCACTAGAAACTATTATTTCTATAAATGAAGTAATTATTTTCTCTAAATATAGATACATGCCTTGTTGCTGGAGAAAAAAATCTAAGTAACAAACTGTATATTCCTCATCCACTCATTTGGGCAGTGTAATTCAGTTGCATTGCTCACGGTTTTGGGCAGCATGAAGTCAAGCAGGCTTGTTCTTCATTCGCAACGTGAATGTGTGCGTAAGCTGTACGTGTAGGCACAATGTACAATGGTGAGCTCTCCTTCAATTTTTTTCATTTTCCATATATTCGTGCTGCAAGCCCGCAGACCGTCTCAGACCTCGAGAGATGATCGACGCAGGCAGGTAGTATTCGTAACGTCGCCAACCCTTTCGCACATCTCGTTAAGCATCCCATCGAATCGAAATGTGGGTCTTGTTGTTGCGGCGACGATTCGAATCGGTCCCACCGACTGGTCGAGCGCCACATTAGCGTCTCGATGTGTTGGTGGCTCGCGTCTTCGTATGCGCTCCACTGCGTGGTCTACGTGTTCTCGTCGACGGTCGTGAGCCGAGATGACTTAACAAGATACGGCGGGTGGAATTCCTCAAAATGCCCATCCTTGTTCGCCTAATGAGCACTAACTGGTTTGCCATCTCAACCTCATTATCTCACCTCGTCTACCCATTCAGTACGACGACGGCGAGAAAGCGCCTACTCTTCGCCGGGCTCCGGCGCAGACACTCGAGCCGCGCAACCGGGTCCCCGGCGTCCAACCTTCCTTCCAACGCGTTATAAACCATCCGCCGCGTGGATAAGTACCTCCACGCCGCGGGAATGAAGTGCATAAACCGCGGCACTGCGAAACGCTCTCCACTGCCAAAAAACAAGAGAGCCCACGGCGGACCAAGGCATCGAGAGGACCGCTGAGCACGCACGGATTTTAAATATTTACACAATGTATGTTTATGGCCTTCGTAATGATGCACGCGATGCTGCAATCCAAATAGCCCCCTAATATTTTACAACAAAAAACTATATTTTCTCAAAAATTATTTTTTATCTTTGTTAGGTTCGAATGTATCTTGGTTTGTTTAAAATTCATGAATCAAGTGAGTGAGTGAGCTCTTCCCTCGGTCAATTTGGACATCACGTCCAAGGTTGACTTTGCCACCAACGGTGACATCAGTCTCTCTATGCGCATTCTAAGCGAACATGTAAATGTTGGCGGTTGGAAGCAGCGCATGAACAGCACGAAACACGTCCAACGGCAGAGGACAAGTTATTCCATGAAAGCTGCGCCTCATGCTGCACTAGCCTCTCCGCTCGCCTTGCCCACGGACGTCGTTCTTTGTTGGATGATTTGTTTGGGAATGCACCCCATGCAAACATATAATGGCGTGTAAATGGGGGTGGGCCTTCCTGGAAAATGAACCTGCCTGACGCAGGTCGGTGCAGCTTGCTGCTCTCGCTCTGCTTCCTCGTATTCTTTTTTCTTTTACCTACAGGGTGTTGGGTGATTTTAATGCACCCCCAATTGATTATTCAATTTTGAGATATTCCAACATCAAAGTTATTATTAAAATGTATTCTCGCACTGCTGGGAAGTTTTTTGTTTGTAAAATGTTTTAAATTTAATGAGGGAGATGAAAAAAACTATGCGGAACATCTTGTTGTGGGTTGTTAGTTGGGTGGTGAGAGCAATGTGTGTTTTCATCTTGATGTTTGAAAAACCTTCCTAATCCGAAGTTGTATTAGGCATAATAGGGAGAACGGTACGCACTTTTGTATTCTTCGTGACGGACCTGACACGGCTTCTTCTTCGACGGTTTCTTAGCGCGGTGTGTGTACATATTTTGGGTTTAGCTTTTGCTGGTGTGACAAAACGATGCTTTTTGACTGCGCGCGCTCGAATGTAAACGATTGTTAAAGCTGGTGACGAATATTAAATGCAATGCACCTTTGAGGCCATTCACCATAACATTGGGAATGCATTGACTTGTAATTTGTAATGCAAACAGTTTGGTTTCTTCATTTCTGCCACCTGTAAATAAGTTGAATTGTAAAATTATATAATTAAAATGTAAAGTTATTTTTTTGTAGGAATCTTGTTATCGCTGAGAAAAGAATACAAGATAATAATTGGTTCACTACACTTTGCCACTAGATCTAGTCTGTGCTGCTCGTCGAGAGAAGAGCAGTAGTTGCGCTGGAAGAGAATTAATCAGGAAACCGTCAGTCGACACTCGAATTGTCAGGCAGCGAGGAGGCGCGGTGCGGTGTGGTGCGGAAAGACGATATTAAATGCACGGAGTGCATGCGACGGCTGTAGAAACGGCAGCGCGGCAGCAGCCGCGGATCCGCATGCGATACAAGATTCATTGTGCGCGGGCCGACGCGGCGCGACTTGGACTCACCTACGGCGCGCACTTGCGTCGTGCGTCGTGCCGCCGAGCACGGGGGTTCGCTTTCGCAGGAGTCGGCGATTGTCGTGCGCAGTCGTCCGGGCTGCCATTACTGCGATGCCGCCTCGGCAGATCAAAAAAGCGGGCGGTGATTGGTCGGGCCCGACAAGAGAGTAGCGTGCGGCGTTTGGAGTGCCGCGCTCTCGGTCGGTCCGCGGCACCGCAGTAGTCGACGAGTTTGTTGTGCTCGCCGCTCGCCGCCCGACAAGAGAGCTTGCACACGCGCGTACCGATCTCCGGCGCATACACTCGGGCGCTCGCACCGCTCAGTCGACTAGTTTCGCTTGCCTAATCCGCCTGGCCAGCGTCAGAGCAGCGGTAGTGTCGTGCGATCGCTTCGTTACGTCGGGCGCTGCTGCTGCTGCCGCCGCCGACGCACCTCTGTGTGCTAAACACCAGATCATTCGCTGTGCCGAAGACGTTATTCAAGTGACAACCTTCTCCGTCGGCGCCTATAAACAGCAACAACAACAAAACGTGAACCAGAGAGAGCACCACGCGCGCGCCGTGACTCGTTTTAGTTTATTGTTTCACCCATCGACGCACGTGTTGAAGGCCTGTGATGGATTCCCGGTGGTGTTATCGTGTAGTGCGTGTGATGTGGTGAAGGCAGCTGTGCCATGTAGCAAGCTGTAATGCAGCGTCGCGAGTGAACCATGCCACACGTCTCGTCCAGTGGCGGAGATGATCTCGGCAGCACCGATG